AATTTTCACAACCGCATACACTAAGCTAATAACATTTTCGTTTTATTTCAACATACATCTTTTATCGTTAATTTGCCATGCATGTATATTTATTAACTTGTGAGTACTTACAGTAACAGAGTACAGTTAACTTGCGAGCACTAGTTACACTGAGTTTGAGCCTTTGCGTCAATATCACATTTGTTCTCGCTCGCAGTAACTCTCACTCTTCAGGTTAGTGAAACCCTAACTGACAATTGCACACTGAATTTTCAACTTATAATAGACGCCTAATTCTGTTCGTCTTAAATATGATTGCAAAATTTAGATGAGGGAATTGAGTTCCCATGACAATATCGCCAGCTTCATGGGAATATGCGTGAGTGAGCAGGAGACAATGGTACTCATAGAATACTGTCCGAAGGGAAGCTTGCAGGTATGCATACATCTTGTTATTGCTATTAGAACCGATGTAGTTGTTAACGAGTTGTTCACGTGGTACAGCGGTCCCCGCTTTATTGGGCCCTGGATAAACGGGCGCATAACTTCAACGATGTGTCTTTGAAAACCATCCTTGTGTACGTTGTTATATGTTTATTCTACAGTATAAACTATCGCATTCTCAGCCGGAAATTTTTCATGCGTTCCGATCTGATCCCGATACAGCGGGACCGTTGTAACTAGTCGGCCGGTGTCCGGTTGTGCGAAAACATTGATAGAAAAGTGTCGTGCCCGAAATGTTCCGAAACTTTTATGCAGCGAGCACTTCATTTCAACATTTATTAATACTTTAGGCACCAATTAGTTTATAACAGCCTTCATTAAAATGTCATGGATATTTTCGACAACGGCGTCCCGCTAGGGCTTCCTCTGCTTAAGTATGGCATTGACTCTCTGGAGCGGCCGAATGCATGCCGCAGATTAATTAAGGACAAGGCACCGTCTATCCATGCGGTGATAATATATAGTATCTATATATTAGTATATATAATGTGAATATTCGAGAAGTTTATGGTCGTTGGTCGCCGTCTATGGCAACGCACGAGCTAGTGACAAGGCCAAAAGTGATTCGTGTGGAAACAATATCGCGTTTATATAATCTTATGACAATATGGAGCGCACATAATGTGATAACTATTACATGTGAAACACCGCGGCGCATCGGCATTACCTCCGCACACGAGGCCCGTACGTGCATACCGCACATATTAATTTATACGAACACGCTTACCAGCACATATTAACACCGCGCACATGCGCGACAACGAACGCGCACGGCACGTCGCCCAATACACAGCACACACACACACACACACACAGGCACCCTCACGCAGTGCACCGTCACAACGGAGCCACACGTTCGGCTTATCAGTAGATGTATACATGCGACTAACGATGCGAGTGGTGTGTTTATCCAAGCGACTGCCCGTGCGGGCGATATTTCGGTTTGGCGTTGCCCCTCAGGTGCAATGTTACGCCAGGCAGCTTAAACCGACTTCGCTTCCTGCTGCGGCCCGCCGAACCTTTATAAACGACGGAAAATACTGGCAAATGCTGACTGCGCAATCAAACGGTCTACTTAATAAACAGCGAAGGAAACGACAATGTGCAGGCAGCCAGTGAGGTAGAAACACCATGCGGTTATAAGCTGGCTCTGATAGCAGTCGTGCAGCCGATTCATATGGCGTCAATTCGCGGATGGTTACAACACCTGCCTAGAGACGGAGCGATGCGGGCTATACATATATACTATATGCTATGATACCAAAAACGTATAAACGGTTTATAATGGTCTAAATAGTATACAGTAAATAATAAGTTATACAGTAGATGTGATATCAGTAAATAGCAATATGTGTATAGTAGGAAACTAGTAGCTATAGTAAATATCAGTATATTGCTATTAGTTAATAAGTGATAACAAGTAAATATTCGTTATAGTGAATTTGATGTGAGTATATTGAAACAGTAGAAATATGCTCCTATTGATTATATATTGTAACTTAGTATAATGCAGATGTTTTATTGCCACGACGGTCAAATTGATTGATTTGTGAATCGGTGAGATGCAGGAATTCGAAAAAGCGCGACCATAGCGTAGATAACGTGTAAGGCCAGATACATAATAGAATAAATGCGCGTTTGCACTTATAGATAATGTTCCGGCTGATCACTATTGCATAATGCAATCTGAGTATATTTACACGCTGACACGTGTTTACGCGCGCGTTTCACTTCCCACTGTTTCCACCCAGTGCCAATACCTCATCGTGCATTCGTAACAACGTAATGGCGAATGGGAGAAACGTTTATAAAAAACCAATCCTTTGTACCTGTCAGGATCACGTATATGTCGCTAATTTCGCACGAACGCAACTTAAGGTGTCAGAGGTGCATTACAGCTTTGAACGGAACGCGACGTCATAATAATTAGTAGGTTTAGTTAGCGGCAATATGATATTTAATTAATTAAGTCACTTTTAAGCGTTGGCGTCCGCTAACCCTGATCACTATAGTTCTAGCCATACGGACACCCATCGTATTCACTCTAATGAGTTAAAAGCCGTCGGCCTGATTTCGCAGCATCACGGCCGCCATGGAGACGGGTCATCTGCTCGCGTTTTGTCCCTGTTGCACGTGGCCATCACGTAGACATCTGAGAAATAAACGGGGGAGTAAACACTTAAAATATTCGCTTCTCTCGCTTGGAAAAGATCTATTCGCGCCGATAAACCAGAACATTTCTGGGCAGGGTAATAGTACTATATGATGATATAATTAATATTATATGTATATAAGAATATAGATATAGATATTCATATATATATTGTATTATATGGTAGGTGATGATGTTATATATATGAGTAAGACATAATAGGGGCAATCCTATTATCTACTCCTGATATATACGTATATGATATTAAAGAAAAACAAATAGCCGAATAGGGTGTTAAAATGTTTAATGCGCGAGCTTTCAGAGAATTTTACATCTCTTGCGTCATGCTAAGGAATAATATAGTATAATATTAATATAATTAATATGCCTACTACATTTACGCTCCAGTTGATTTATTTAATTTGTCTAGTTAAACCGCGCAGGTACAACATGCGTCGGGCCGGTAATGTTTCCACCACTCTTCCATCACCATGGGCACATGTTTTATATACATTTTTACATTTAAAAAATTTTCAATGCCATGCATATGTATATTTTATCGATCAATTTTTCCATGTCATGGCAGTATTTTGTTATTATTTTTATTATTCATAATTATCATTGCCATTTGTTTAATTTTTTTATTTTTAAACCACATTTATCAATGTCGTTGGCTGTTTTTTGTATCATCTTTTCATCCTTATGCCGACCATCTATTCAGCGTATTATTCGTTAGAGTTATAGGAAACGAAAGTTCGATTTCATTAAACAGTTTTTTGCGGTGTCTTTTAATTTCACCTTCGCAGGACATTTTGGAAAACATGCGATTCAAGCTGGAATGGTGATTTTCCGGTTTTTCGCTGATTAAAGGACATCCTAGAAGTGAGTACATCTTATTCATCTCAGCTGGTACGTTTACCTCTCACAGCCACACGTGTACAGTAATAAACCTCTAGAAGGCCACTCGGACAGTGCGAATCGCTCCGCATGCGCGATCACTTACACCTGTGATATTTTGTAGGCTTGAGGTTGCTACTTGTAATGGATGGAGTGAACTTGGGTTTGGTTGTGTTTGTACTGAACGCATCGACTATCTGCCTGTGCTTTTTGTTTTTGGCATGTTTACGTGCATGTATGTATGCCACTCACAACATACATAGTAACTTGAAAAGCCACCACCGTATTATTGATTCATGATTTAATGCACATTACACTTACATTATATGAACAAAGCTGACCGCCCCACCCGCGTTAGCACATGGGTACGCGTGCTTCGCCTATGACCCAGCTTGATAATATACTTAAGTGACTAATATACCTAATTAGTTAGTAGTCGATGCAGTAAGGTGCAAGGTCACTTCAGATATCAATAGGGTTCGCAGCGCTCGCCTAAGATGCAACACTATATGTGGGACCAAGTTTGAAGTGTCTACCTCATACGCTTGCAAAGACTCGCAGCAGACAAACGACACAGCACCACAAGCAGCACGCACACACACACACACACACACACACACACACACACACACACACACACACACACACACACACACACACACACACACACGCACACGCACACGCACACGCACACGCACACACACACACACACCACACACACACACACACACACACACACACCGCCACATACATACAAACGAGCACGAAAACAATATCTTCCGCTTCACTACGTTCGGAGGATAATAAAAACACGTACGTAAAATCCGGATGTTAATATATCCGTTATTATCTTGGTGCAGACATTATCGTTACTGAAAATTAAAATTAATAATTATTGAGGAAATTACTACTAAGTTGAACTACTACAGCGGTGAGCGAACATTAAAAGGTTGTGAAAACGTCAAGGTTGTCAGAACTATAGAGTATAAAACGCAAGAGATTATATTCTTAAGTTAGGATGAATCTACATAATAGCAGAATCAAAATATTCCGGACATGCAACGGTATCGCGGATGACATCACTATCATATCAATTATACTTGTGATTATCATTTTAATTTGATATTCATTTGTCATACTGTCCTTCCTGTATTTTATTATGATGTATATTTCTCTCACCCGAGGGGCTGATGACATTGCACGGCTCTCTTTACTCTACCGTTATTACTACTAGCCTACAAACTGTTGTAATTATTTTACTCTAATACTTTCCGCTCTCTATTCTATAACGATGTGTATCTTTCTCATTTAATGCATGATGACATTGCACGTCTCTCTTTACTCTCTATTACTCCTTAACCGCATTATTACTCTATGCTTCGATTATTACCAGTACAATGTACTGTTATTATTACGTTATATTGCGTTCCGCCCTCTATTTTATCACGATATTTGCCTCTCTCGTCAGGGCATGATGGCATTGCACGACTCTCCTATCCAGTCTCACGGGAAGCTAAAGACGTCCAACTGCGTCATAGATGGCCGCTTCGTTTTGAAAATCACCGATTTCGGACTCAGTTTTAACAACGACGACAGCTCCGATGAAGACAACCCGCATAGGCACATCAGTAAGAGCGGAACCAGTCTATAACCAGGGCCGCGTCCATCGGGGGGGCAAGGGAGCGGGTTCATAGTTAGTATATAACAGTTATAAATTATAATAAGTAGTCACTATTAAATGGGCAATGGGTAATTATGATCACGGCTAACTACCCAGACCACAGACCGCCCAGGCCATTGTGCCAATAAGAAAAATAAGTTAGCTACGCCTGTTCTGTGCTTACAAAAATGTAAGGCGCACTAATTCTAGCACGTGTTTTTCTACGTTCTCTGCCTGCATGCGCATAAGACGTATTAATCTAATTGTATTTCTCTCCTTTCTGTGCTCATACAGTAAGTGGATCTAGTCCAGTAAGCATTTTCTCTGTTCCGTGCTTACGCGTATAAGTACTATAGGAATTCGTCTGTGACACGAGCGTATTCATTTACATTCTGCGATTACACATAACAAAGCGAAATCAGTGTAGCAAGCTTTCGTTTATACCAGGTGATTACACACATAGGATAATTCGATGTGATCAACAGCACGCAGACTATAGCTTGTGTTTTACCTGTTTAGTTTATGTTTACGGGATTGATTGCAGCTGGTCCCACTTATAATTCACACCTATAGCGCTCGCACCTATTGTGCCTCTACAGATATAGCTGTATTCGTTAGGAATATATATATGAAAACAAATAGGAATAGGGTGTTAAAATTTTAATGCGCGAGCTTTCGAGAATTACATCTCTTCGTCATGCTAAGAATAATATAGTATATATAATATAATAATATGCCTACTACATTTACGCTCACAGTTTATTTATTTAATTTTCTAGTTAAACCCGCAGGTAACATGCGCGCCGTAATATTCACATTTTCCATCACCATGGGCACATGTTTTATACATTTTTTAACATTAAAAAATTTCAATGCCATGCCATATTTTATATTTTTATCGATCCAATTTTTCCATGTCATGGCATATTTGTTATATTTTTATTATTCATAATTATCATTGCCATCTTTTATTTTTTTATTTTTACAACCACATTTATCAATGTCGTGGCATGTTTTTTGTATCATCTTTATCATCTTTCATCCTTATGCCGACCATCTATTCAGCGTATATTCGTTAGAGTATAGGAAACAAAGTTCCGATTTCATTAAACGTTTTTGCGGTGTCTTTTAATTTCACCTTCGCAGGACATTTTGGAAAACGATGCGATCAAGCTGGAATGGGATTTCCGGTTTTCGCTGATTAAAGACATCCTAGAAGTGAGTACATCTTATATCATCAGATCAGCTGGTACGTTTACCTCATCACAGCACACGTGTACAGTAATAAACTCTAAAGGCACTCGGAGAGTGCGAATCCTCCGCATGCGCGATCACTACACCTGTGATATTTTGTAGGCTGAGGTTGCTACTTGTAATGGATGACGTTGAACTTGGTTTGGTTTTTGTACTGAACCGATCGACTATCTGCCTGTGCTTTTTGTTTTTGGATGTTTACGTGCATGTATGTATGCACACTCAAACATACATGTAACTTGCAAAGCAGATATATCGATTCATGTTTAATGCACATTTAACTACATGTATATGAACAAGCTGGAACCCCCCCCCCGCGTTAGCAATGGTACGGTGCTTCCGCTATGACCCAGCGTTGGAAATATACTTAATGACAATATACCTAATTATTATATGATAATAAGGTCAAGGTCACTCAGAATCAATAGGGTTCCAGCGCTCCCTAAGATGCACATATATGTGGACCAAGTTTGAAGTGTCTACCTCATACGGTTGCAAAGACATCGAGCAGACAAACACACACACACACACACACACACACACACACACACACACACACACACTCACACACACACACACACA